TAATTACTAGAATATTATGAATTATGAATCGGCTATAAATTGCAACATAAAATTGATTTGACTGAAGAATAATAACTATAAGTAAGAGCATATACGAAAAAAAACCTAAAAATAAACTTGGCTTAATTTAAAAGTGCTGGGCTATAATTGTAGCGGTTGGTTTTTTTTATGACCACTTAAAAATTTTAAAAATTATGTGAAAATAAATGAGAAATTAAGTGTGACAAGTGGAAAAGAAAAAAGTCACCACTCATTCAAATTATAAGCTCTCTCTCTTTTCATTTTTTTCCTTTTTTTTTTTTCTCTTTTTTTTTCTTATTGGATCAACCTCCAAATACCGAAAAGAAATCAAACACTGATCTCAAGCAAATTTCATATGCAACAAACAAACAACCAATAATAAATCATCATTTACCAAAATGTAGCCAATGACAAAACGAAACATGAATATGCTTTCCAAAAAAATTAAATGGTAGAACTTTGGGTGATCAACCAGAGTCTGATATGGGGAATCCCACCCACGAAATTAGGTCCAAATCATTCGCCTCACTATAACCCAAAAATTCCTGTATTTAAGAGAATACCCACGGGAAACGAGACTGGGGATTAATACAAGAAAGAAGGATCTTAGGACTGTTCGACTGTTGTGAAATGGAGAAGATAATCTGCAACTACTGCAAGACAAAGAAGGTGAATTGAACATAGACTTGGCAAACGAGTAAGTTGGGCTGGGTTATGGTCGGGTTAGAACAGGTCACGGGTCAAAACAGATTGTGTTAAAATAAGTCACGAGTCAATGAAGGTTGACCTTAACCCACTCATTACAAGTCATAAGTCAATCCGCAATTTGACCCAATTGAATTTTTTTTCCTTTTTTTCTCTATTATTTGTACCTATTTTCATCAAAAAAAAATTATTCAAAAGATTTAAAAATGAAATTAAACATCTTATAAAAAGATATTTTTTCTTATTAATTTAATAAAACATATTTACAATTATTTAGATTCACCTTCTCCACTCCCCTACAAAGAACAATGCTCATCAAATTCAAGAACACCACACACTTATAGATCTCAATAGCAAAAAAAAGAAAAAAGTAGTAGTAGCATGACAACCTAAAACACAAACCCCATTGAAACATTTTTTTTTTGTTATTGCTTTCAAAGAATCAATCAATTAAATGCATCTAAGTAAATAAATAAATAATAAATTCAAAACAAAATAAATAAATAATAAATTAAAATTTTTTTAATTTTTAGATCGGTAAACGAGTCAAGCCCATTAACTTGGTGGGTCAACTCTTTATTGACCTGTGACCCGTCAGATTCTTTTAACGGATCATTAACGAATCACAGGTCATAAATATCTTACCCTAATCTGTTTTAAACTGATGGGTAATGGGCATAAATATCTTCAATTGGGTATCAGACGCTACAACCACCCTGGGTTTTGACCTTAGCTGTAAGTTGTGCATGGCTTTTCTGATGCAGTTCAATGCTGCCTGTACTACTCTTACAGACCTGAAACACAGACCAGCAGAGATATCATAATAATAAGTTTTAAATTATGTCAGTTGGCATCCATAAATATATAACTGCCTTTCTAAGAAGGCCAAGTCTATTTTTAGCACATCTACAAAACAGTCTCATCTGTCATATTGCCAAAAGTGGTTTCTTGCTTACTAATGTAAGCATGCATTGTGGTTTCAAATTATTAGGATGATACACATCTCTTCCATCTTCTTTCTTACTTTATTGGTATCTAGTTATGCTGGTAGGGAATTTTATTGTTATTAAGCATCATTATCAACCAATGAGAAATTTTCTTTAGATGTTCAGTCAGAATACCTATTCATAAGCATCCGCATGTGCAATGTAATATCAGGCTCCCCAACACCGTCTGGAACCCAATTGACCGCTTCCTCAACATCTTTAGAAGGGGATATGAGTACTCTCATTAGCTCCCCAAATATGTTAGGTCGAGATCGCAGAGATTCTGGCTTTCCAAATAACTCATAAGCAGCACTCCTCATCTCAGAATGTACATTCTTCAAGAAAAATTGAGCTCCTATGGCATCTGTGGTACCCTGAAACCTGCAGTAGTATAGTTAGTGAAAATGTGTTCATAATTGAAAATAAATAAATAAATAAACAACATACCATCTCAAAAGAATTCCCACTTTACCATATAATAGGTTGGTCCCAATCCCTCCAATTGCTACAGAGGGCATTTGTCTTTGCTGGCTTCTCAAAATCATCAATCCTCATAACCAACTGCCTTTTGTACTTCTTTACACAATTGTTTTTTCTCCAAAGATGCTTGATTTCTTTCAAGGTAAACGTAAGGTTGGAATAAGAAATGTAGTCTCCAAAAGGATATTTACCCCTGAAGAAAGAGAAGAAAAGAATTGTTAACACCGAATCTGTCTAGTTTCTCAGGGAGTATTCCCTGGAACAATGAGTGTAACATGGAGTGCCTTCTTCAACACCCAGTCTGAGTAAACTAAATTTGCACTAACCTCAAATAGCTAGCACTTATAATTAATCCACTCAAATGGAATTGGAAATAATACAATGTTCATGCACTGTCTTAAGAGCCAAACAATTAATGCAGAAAACAACAAGACTAGCTTCCACTAACAAATTAAATAGTTATGTAGATAGGAAAATTTTGATGTAGAACAGAAAGGATTGAGAAAGAACCAATATGCCTGGTTTGCCCAATGATCAAGGACCGGTTCAACATTATGCTTAATGCAGCAGCAGTTAACATCTTGTACATTTCGTTCCCAAATCCTGAGCTCGAATTCCCAAATCCTGGGTGGGTAAATCAGCAGGCGGCGACGGATCCACGGATCTGAGCGTGAGAATCAACAAACCGATGCCGGTGAAAGTGGCGCATAAGAAGAGAAGTAAGCCGAGTGGAACTGGTTTCTTTCTCGATCCGCCATACCTCATTTTTTCTTTCTGTTCGCGTGTTGTTACTGATACTTTGAGGGGAAAATGGAATGTGAGTTTGCTGGCGATGATGTCGGGATGATTATGAGATTCCTGTCGGTGGTAAGAGTTAACCGTACCAAACCCAAAAGAACTAAAATGGTTTAAAGCCAATT